TATCCAAATCACTGTTACATTTTCTCTTAAATGTATTTTATATAGAAAAAAAACAAACATAGTGGTTATGTTACAAGTCATAGTAAATCAAATTAAGAATCTGAGGCAAAACCTAAAAATTGAAGTTTAGCACTGCTCTTCATCCAATCTGGCTGACCACGAGCAAATATTTCTATTAAACACCTACAACAAGAGGATGATAAGAATGATTTTACTCTGTATTGAATAGGGGGTCTAATAACAAAGGCACACCACACTTTTCAGATTTTCATTTGTAAAAAAAACAAAGAAAAATCATTTGAAACCTATTTAGTCTTCTCTTTTCTTACCACAAGTATTCATTATTTTGAGTTTGCCTGTCACAAATATAGTGCATGAAGCACAATGCAATTTGAGAAACTGTTAAAGGGAAGCAAAAAAAGTTTTTCGTGAGTTAATTTTGTTCTATTTTTCTTTTTGTAATAACAAAGCCTACAATGTCAGAAAAAAGTGTAAGAAGTACTTAGAAAAATTAGCGTAATTTTTACCAGCTTGCCTTTCAGAGCCTCCACAAAACCCCATTTGTTCAACGTTATGAAAGTGTCGTCACACTAATTTACTGAAACTCCATCTACCTTTCCTGAGGTGCCATGAACAGAACAGCCTGATGTCTGTAACATTAATACACATTTCGCTCTACCTCCTGTGTTTTTAAATGAAACTGCAATTATCAAATTCCTAAGACTATTAATACAATATGAAACAATTGCTGGAAGCAGAGTTTGATAGAATAGACAGTCGGATACATCTTTACATACAGTATAAAACAAATTAAAAAAATATATATATATACACACACACACACACACACACACACACATGTATAGAGAGAGAGAGCACAATGATGTGCAAATTTCCACTTGTTGTGAGATTGTGCGTTTCTGGCAGAACTTTACTGCCAATTACCCAAACCGTCCGATGTGACACTAACCCTAACAGTGCAGCCACTCTGTGCATCTGCTCTTCTGTTGGTGGTCGATATCTAATTAAAACAGCAGACATGTCTGTGCGTGTGTGTGTTTTCGTGTGTGCATTGACGATGTGTGATTTATAGTTCAGTTTCCTCCTCATTTTAAGAGTGAGGTTAAAACTAAAGGTCACCTCAGCTGGTATCCCGAGGGTCTGTGTCGGTGACCCTTCAACACGCCACACATACAAATGGATTCATGGAGAAACACAGAAATACAAACACAGAATAAGTAATGAGTGTTTCAATGTGAGCTCTTTGGAAAAATCTGTTCTTTCCTCTTTTACCACACAGCACTTACGGACACAGCTCAGCGGGATCCGAGGACTTAGTCATTACAGGTTCGGCAAATATAAACACAACACACACACTCAGCGATCTTTAAGTCAGCCGAATGGAGACGAAAAGTGAAATGCTTCAATCTGAGGTTTACAGGGAAGTAGAAGTGGAGTGTTGACATTTTCTTTTCAAAAGCTGCATTGACTTTTTCATTTCATGTGACTTTGATTATTTTCCAACTCTCGTACACTTCCTCTCATCTTCCATATTTAATATCATTGCCTCTCTCTTCCGAGCCTTTCTGATTTATTACCACAAAAAATTGTCTCTTCTCCCTTTCTTCCCTCTCATCATATTTTATTATTACTGTGAGTGTTTCTTTCACTGAATTTCATCTCTTTGTCGTCCCCTCTCATAAATGAATATTGCGGGCCTCTTGGTGGGGGACTGACACCCCCCTGCATCCCATCACGTCTGCTGGGAAGACAGACAAAACCATCTGTCCTCAAGTCACACAAGAACAGACTTCTTGTCGACTAGTGTGCACACAGGGCTGATTCCAATATGTTGTAAAAATGCATGAACATAGACAAAAAGCAGATGGCGTGACGGTAAAGTGTGTTCAGGATGAAGATTAGAGCTATTGTCCCCACCTGCCAGCACACCACACACGTAGATCAGTCCAATCCTCAGGGCACCGTGGACCATTTCAAGAGGGACTCCCACCAGCAGCTGCATGGCCATGTTCAGGCTCAGATGTTCAATCCTGTAACGTACACACACACACACACACACACACACACACACACACACTGATATCAGTTATCAACCCACTGCTAAAAAAGAATAATCTGGGCAAGTTGCTGTTGCAGAATCTTCCAATCTGGTTTTCATGTTCCACACATTACTAGAATTACCCTCATCACATATTATTGTGGGGTACCCCAAGGTTCCATCCTGGGACCCCTCTTATTTAATATCCATGTGCGATAATCTGTGATTATAACAAGATTAATTACCATAACTACGCAGACTTTGCACAACTCTACATTACAATGTCACCAGGTGACCACTAACCCATTCCAGTGGTGAGTAGGTGCATAGAACAAATCAATCTGTGGATGTGCCATAACTCTTTCTTCAGCTCAAACAAAACTGAAGTTATTATATTTCGACATTAAGGAGAAGAATCAAGGGTGAACACGTAGGTTCAATTATTACAAATAGAAACTAGTGATCAGGCCCAAAATCTGGGTGTAGTGATAGACTCTGACCTGAACATTCAGAGACACATAAAGACAATTGCAAAGTCAGCCTTCTACCACCTGAAGAACATTTCCAGGATCTTGTTAGCTTCTAAATCGCTGAATAGAAGGTATTCTATTAGTATAATACCTTCTATTACACCAAACACATAAAAATCTTTTGTCATATCAACCTTCCAGACCCACTCTGGATGGCCTGGAAGTTTGAAATTTTCTATTCATTTTTAGTTTGAATAGAAAATTGATGTCAGTCTTTAAACATTGAAAACTTTGCATTTCCCTCATAACAAACTTGTCTTGATTTGCTCTGTTAAAGTGAGAAATTGTCAAGGAATCAACCACTGTATTTTTATGTATTCTGTTGTCATCAAATAGAAAATAGGAAGAAATAAATTTAAAATCACCTGTAAAAATCACAGCTCACCACCACACCTTTCTTTTCTATTCAGCACTTTTAAGCTTGTCTGTTCGCCACTGCCTCCCCAGCTACCATCTATCCCCAGTAAATTACCATTTTATTAGCTCTCTTTATGGCTAAGACTATGTTACCCCTAGGAGTAATTAAATCTGGATGGCCGTAGTTGAGCTGATGAAAACCACTATCCGCTCCCCACAGATTTATCTAATTATTACATTATGAATTATTAGTTTTCATGGTAGCACTATCAAAGTGTAAACACAATATACTAATAAAACCACAAAGATAATCCCTTCTCTGTTACCATGACACTAGCTGTAGTAAAAGAGGATTTTACCCTTGTTCTTGATTTGATTTTAATTTCTCACATGGAGACAATTACCAGCTGCGTCTCAGCTTTGCCCAATTACATTGTGTTCTCTTTAAAAAAACAACAACAACTGCAGTGTATTTTTGGAAATTGAATTTTTCGCCAATAATATTTCATATGACTCAGTTTCTCAAATATCCAACAGATACATGTCAGGTCAAATGTTTAGGCACCCATAACCACTGAGAGTGCAAGTGGAAAAGAAAAGTGTGCTAATGTGTGCTCATGAAGGCTGACATCCCAACCAGATAAATAAATTTTATATTTTATCTAGTTATTGTTTATCAGGGTATAAAATGCTGTACATCAGCAGTACATCGTCACAAATAGATGTCAGTTTACCTGATTAGACTCACCCAGTATGCATAAAGATGTAGCTGAAGTACCTCCAGGCTTGGGCTCGCAGCTGGGGATGGTAGGGTAAGGGGCTTTTCAGGAAGGATGGACTGGATACCTGCAGGACCAAACGATCCAGCTGGATTCCATAGTACATGAACACTGCTACCTAACAGAGAGCGGGAAAACAAAGGGGATCAAAGTCAGAATTATCGCAAGCATAGATGGGAAAATAGAAAATAGAATAGCATTTTGTGGTATTTTAAGACACCGTTGTCTCACGTCTTGTGCAGCTCCTTACGGTTTTTCTTAAGTACTACCCTGTATTTACCACCTTCCATCTTCCCATTAAGTCTGACCAGCTTCTCTGCTTTCAGATTAGGATAAATACTGTATCCCCGACAGCATTATACTTCCATCTCTATGTTTGGGGCTTGTGTGTTCATTGTGATTGGCAATGTAAGTCAAAAAGTTCAGTTTCGGTTAAATCTGAAAGAACACATTCTTCCACGTGTTTCCAGTGATCCTGCATGGCTTGTTGCAATTTGTAAACAAGACTTTTTAAGGTTTTATTTTACCTAATTTTTGCTACTTTTGAAAAAATTTAAAAAAAAGTCAGATTTGAGATGTGCATGACTAATAGAGTCCAGTCAAAAAAAATGTTCATAACCAAGTCATGGATCATTGAGGATATAATGGGCCTTTTGCGCCATAATGCTTCAAAACTTCAAAATTTGAGATTTGCAGTAAAGTTTTGCTTTGCTCAAAAAATATCCACCAGCAGCATTTTAAAACAAATCTTAATCCTCTCATAAGGTATTTTGTTTAATCAAAATATCAAAGCAGGGTTAAAATGTTTAAGACACATTAACCTTACATTAAATCCCAAAAGTATTTATAACCCTGGTAGACTTAGATTAACAAGAAAGAAGAAGTTTGTTGTTTGCAGGAAATGAGAGAGAGGTTAAAAGAAAACAAATGGAGAATAAATCTTAATATTTATTTGCTCTAAAGCAATCAAACTTACAGTCTTCTTGTAATTGCTGAAGAGCTTTTTCAATTTTTCCACTGGCATTTCCAAACTGTTAACATTACTTTCAGTCAAATGAAATATTTGTAAAATGAAAGGACTCTGCATCTGGCCATGGTCTGAATCATACTGGGCGGTTTAGTTCCTTCTTAGCCAATTTACCTCTGCGATGGTGATCGCCAGGATGAACCAAGGAGGGGGGCAATATGTGTAGCTGTCAAAGTACCACTTGCGGTCAACCTCGCGGGGCAACGTTTCGTAGGCAACATGGCGAACCAGCCGCTGGGACAGCCCCAAGCCCACCTCATCTCTGAGACTGCAGCCCTTCAGCTGCCTGCTGCCCTGCAGAATGGCCCTCCGGAAACTGTTGGAGCGCTTGTTGCTCATCTGCCCAGGAGAAACAAGAGGAGTAGAGAGGATTAGGAGATTGTTTGAAAGGGCAGGGAGGTTAATGAGATGTTAAAGATTAGAGAAGCTTATTATTAAGATACTTTAAGTGGCGCCATCGGACATTATTATCACCTAAGCTGCGCTATTACCCAGTCACCAGCACTACCCACTGCTTCACTGTGTCTCTGAACTCATCATATTTATATGAGTGGCAACATGGTATCACTCTGAAGCTGTATACTTTAAAAACATTGATCACAGAAATGTATTCGTTAATCTTTCAAACGTTCACATTTTATGTTACCTAATACATTAACGTACATACATGTGTGCTAACACCCAGATGAATGTGTTTCTCGTTCGTGGCTTGGTTTTGTTTGACTTATTTTCAGTTTTCTAATAAATATCAGACTATAATATTCAGGCTCTCTGTTGTGCTACTCAGTAAAGGTGTTAGATATTAACTATTTGTAAGCTGAAGTATCGAGATGATTTACTATAAGATGGACTGTAGCGGGAAGCAAATAATTTGAGCTAGCTGGCAGGATGTGGTGCAAGCATATTATAGTCCTAACAACAAATATGCAATCTACTGGAACTAGAGCTACTATTTATATTGGACTTAATACTGATGTCATTCTTGGATTTAACATTTGACTGAAAAATTTTACTTAAAGGATGTAGTGGCTTTTTAAGTTATTTTACAAATATTTAGAACACAGCAAAACTAAATAATTGACGGCAGTAGATGTTGTTTTATATTCATTTTTTCAAAGACAAAAAACATGCGGGTAAGTACAAATTTGAAACTGAGGAAGCAGTATAAAGATTTTTTTGTTTGTTAAATTAAATTAAATTAACTT